TACAGCAGTGCAAGCACTGATTTGGCAATAGAAATAGGTAAGAGAGTGGAACCCACCTAGACGGACTCCTAAACGGAATAGGAGTCGTACCATCTAGTAAGACTCTCTATGACTTAATATAAATAAGTATATATCTATATTGATGGTTGTTAGCATCGGGAACGAAATCACTTCAAGTGAAGAACATGTCTTATAAAATAATGTCACTCGTAATATAATTAATACATATATATGAAGATGACATTTCTCTTCTAAATTAGAAGATACGAGTGTACTTACTCTCTTATTTGGCATAGTCAAAAGACAATATAGGTGGGCACATGAAACGTGTGAATTACATGCAATATCTTTGAATAGGTTTGTTTCTTTTTGCCTTAATTGAAAATTAAATTAAAAAAAATGTAAAAAGTATTTTGACTCCTTATACGCATTTGAGTTTTGCTAGTTCTAGCAATTAATTGACATGAATGCCTCGTTGGTCTAGTGTTCGTAAACGCGTTTGTTGACCATAATGGCTTGGGTTTGAATCCCGGATCGGACTAAAATTAATTATTGCGTTTTTCTGTCAAGAAATTCTCAGTAGCAGCCCGGACTCAAAAAGTTGGCGGTGTTTCACCCTCGTGCCTCGGAAAGCACGTAAAGCCATTGATACTGATCTTTCATATCGTGTCAGCTACCGTTACCGTCCCATCAGACTGCGAGATTGAGGGAATAGAATAGAGAGTACACTTGTGCTTGCGCATACATTCGTAGATAGCTAGTCTCCTTTGCGACTAGCTATCTGGTTTACTTTGAATTGAAAGATAATTTAAATTAAAATATTATATGTAATTACTCTAAGGTTGAAATACTTATTAAGAGTTGCCTGATAAAAAACATTGTTTAAAATTGTATGAAAATGTAATGAATACTGAAACTTTTAACATAAAACATAACTAAATGTAGTTAATTCCCATTGTATCGGGTATTCCAGAAAGATTGGATCTTGAACGAATTAAGGTTGGATAACCTGGAACGCCTAATATTAAGTCCTTACATATGAAATTGCCGTTTTGTACGGGAGGAATATAAAGTCAATTTTTTTTTTGTAAAATGTATTTAATTAACCAAAGTATGCACCGTTGTTATCTATGAACTTTTGCCATCTCATAGGTAATTCAACGATCCCTTTACTAAAAAAACCATGGGGCGAGAAAAAATTAATCTCTTTGAAGGCAATTTGGACTGCCGCATCGGAGTTGAGTTTTTTCCTTGTAAGAAGTTTTCCAAATTCCGGAAAAAATGGTAATCTGTTGGAGCAAGGTCCAGGGAGTACGGTGGATGTCGCAGACGCTCCAATCGTAGCTCATCTAACTTAGCGTTTGTTCGTTGTGCAGTGTGTGATCTTGCAGGAAAATCATAAAAAAATATAACATAGTTATTGAAAAAAAATCATTAAAATTGGTTCACGATTGACGAAAATATATGGTTCAAGAAATTTATTCTCATTATGAATACAAAAATTCACTTTTCATGAGAATATAATTTATAAGATATAACAATATCTGGGGAAACGCAGAAGTTGGGGGTACATTACAAATACAGTTAAAAACAGTCACAGCGTCAGAGAGAGATACAATCACAGATATAAAATTGATATCGACAAACGAATTTGCGCCATTCGGTGCACGATCGGCGCGTACTTTTAATCCGCGAACTTTCGCAGTCGTAGCAGTGACTATTACTTTATGGTGATTCTGAGGCAGATTGCTGATTATCGGCTTCTCGAATATCTCAAAAACCTTAATTTTGAACGTTTAATCTCAATTTCAGATCAGTCTTCACGATAATAACTTTAGTTATAATCTTACCAAGGAGAGGGAAATAAAGATAGTTGCGGCGAAATATCTTTTCAATTTTTTTTTTGCTGTATATAATATTGTGATCGTTAGTGTTTCCTCTATTCATTGACACACTCTTCGACCAGCAAGTATTATGAACACCATTATAATGTTGCGCACTATAATTAATGTCCCGTATATTGTGGGTGATTATTAGCGCCACCTGGTACCAAGCAGCAGAAATAGGAGCGTCAAGATCTTTCTAGAACTCTCCTACTAGCGCCATCTAGTATCGAATAGAAGAACTAAGCTTTCTAGAAAACTCCACACTCGGATTTTCTACACCTAGTCGGTCGGGACCGGTATTTGCTGGAACATTCTAGATGTTTCGATGGAAAAGTCCTGCGTACAGCCGTTAAGGGCCGCGACCGGAGCAGTATTGAATTGGCGATACAAGTGAAGACTTAGGAGCGAAATAAAGTGAACTAAAGTGTTAAGTGTGATTAATTATTATAGTCAACCAAATCTATGAAATACAGTTTGCAGCTGTCAGACTTATTACACCAAGCATGCCAACCAAAAAATGGGAACGTACAATATTCGATTCTTTAAAAAAATCGATATCGATTGTTTAGAGTTGGTAATCATTTACAGTTTGGTTTAAATAATATTAAAATAAATTAAAAACGGATAATTTAAAACACAAGATTTACTAATTTCTTCGTATTTTTTGTTACTGGTTATTTCTAGAGGCAGAGTTAAACAAAATTAGATTGAAAGTTAGATAAGAATAAAAATAAATTTATTCCATCAGTTTCAGTACAGCTAGTTGAGCTGTAGTTGTTAAGATTAATTATTATTTGATTTTCAATAAATAATACGGCAGCTCAGATTTTTACGATACCGACACTGCTTTGAATATGTCCTAAAAATGTTAAATGTCAATGTCATTGATGTCATTTCGTTGCAAAACAGGTGGAAGTGCCTATAAATTTCTTTTTATTTTACTGGTTTTATAAAATATATATTAAATACGTATCTATAAATATAAATACTATATTAAGCAATACATAGTTGTATTTACAGTTTGTAGTTACAATTCAAGGTTGTGATATAAATAGTCTTTGAATACAACATAAGAGTAACATGCAGAACACTGTGTACTTAGAAACGTTTACAACTCCTGTAAAATATCAAGAGTCACATAAAATTGATATTTCCTTGGAGTCATTAGTATCTTACAGCATCTATAAGTTTTGTTCCCCTGACGGGGTTGATATAAAATTTGTTTATAAAAATGGAACAATTGATAATGTGTCAGTCTTTACTCAGCATTATGAAAATGTCAAAATATTTAATGAGAAAGATATACCGTGGCAAGTACTGTCATGTAATTTTCCAGTAGTTAAATACGAAGACACAATTATATCAGGTCTTTGTGGAGTAGCACGACACATTTGTAAATATAGATCTATGAAAAATTTGTCATCACATGAACATGAAGGATTACTTGGTTTTAGAAAAAGTTGCCTACAAGCACCCAATGAAGTATCTGTATGGACCAAATTTTGTGAAGTAGATGTTATAGGAACAGTAAATAATATTTTAGGCCGAGACCAGTTGCAAGAAGTCCCTAAGAATTTAATTAGATTTGAAAACCATCTTAATAAACCTGTTAAAATACACAATATATATAAAATAGCGAGAGAATTAAAGAAAGAAAATATTAATTTAAATTTAAATTCCGAGGAAGTTGAACAAGATACAAAAGAGATGTCACAGAAAGGAAGAGTTTCTAAACCCCGTAAATGGAAATCAAACATAAAAAAATCACTTGAAGTTGATTGTACTACAAAAATGGAAGAGCTGCATATAAGTCATCAGTTTGCAGAGGGGCCTTTTCTTACATTAGCTGATTTGATTCTCTTCATTTGTTATTATATCATTATTCAAAGTATAGGAACCACTTACTTTAAATCTCTCTTACCATTAACATACAAATGGTTTGAAAATATTGCCAATATTACAGAATTAAAGAATATATTGGATATATTGCTCAAAATCACAACAAAGCCTTTAAAACTAGAAAATGTCCTAGTTCCTACTATTGATGACGTAAGTTTATATAAATCCGATCCAAAGAGGCATAATCCAAAAAAAAGGTTATTTACCAAAGAATCTGATATAGAAAGTGCTTTAAGTGCACTTCAGGATGGAATGGAGCTTAAAATTACTTGTAATAAAATTGAATCTGGAATAAAATGGGATGATATCCCTAATGGCGCTAATCCTTGCGCTGGTCATTTACCGGATGATAGAATAGTGAGAAAATCTCAACAACTTGAAAATTTAGCTCTAGCTGTTTTAAATATAGCAAAGGAAGGCGATTTAATTGTAGACTTCTGTAGTGGAAGCGGTCATTTAGGAATCCTCCTTGCTCATTTATTACCTAAATGTACAGTTATTCTTTTGGAAAACAAAGAACAGTCTTTATTGAGAGCAAGGGCAAGAGTACATGAGATGTGTTTAACAAATGTGTTTTTCTTTCAATGTAATTTAGACTTTTTTGTGGGTAAATTTGATATTGGTATTGCTTTGCATGCTTGTGGAGTGGCTAGTGATTTGGTTTTAGACAAATGTTTAAAAGCAAATGCAAAGTTTGTCCTCTGCCCTTGCTGTTATGGCTCTCTTCATGCAACGGATAGACTTGCATATCCAAGAAGTGCTAAATTTAGCAGCATTAATATTGATCAATATTTGTGTATTGGGCATGCTGCAGATCAAACACACAAAGATCATCACTTGGCAGAACGAGGAGCAAAATGTATGGCTATCATCGATTCTGATCGTGCTAGATTAGCAGAAGAATTTGGTTACAGAGTAACTTTAACAAGACTTACACCTTTATCTTGTACACCCAAAAATAACTTGCTTATTGGGGTCCAATGTTAGTTTCAATAAAAAAAAGACTATTTTGATAGACAATTTCTTTTTTTATTAATATTCATAATACAATTACTACAATTACATTACTTATATCATACAAAATAAATGAATAATAAATTTATGTTAGCTTTTATATTTGATAACCAAATACAGCAAACAAATTTTCAGTAAATTATATAACTAATGATTTAACAAATCTACTTATATAATAATAATGTATAATAAATAGCACAACTAATCGCATCTTGCATACACAATCGCAGTACGGGAAGGGATGTAAACCTAAAAGAAAAAAAATTAAAATAACACCATATGTAATTAACTGTTTCAGTGCGGATTGCCATCGATTATTTGTCTGTGTGGCATATGACGCGAGTTGCGTCTTTTTAAAAATCGTTATAATTCGCTCAAATTGCGTTTTTGGAAGATTTATCCAGAACAAAATATACATTACTTTGCAATTTGCCTACAGCTTTATTTCTAGATATTTTGAGAATTTGAAATTATTAGAGGTTGACAACTTTTTTTAACTTGTAGGATGGACTCTTTACAGTGGGTTTTTTAAATCATGTTGTGGAAAAATACTTTAATGAGTAACAAATAATAGCACACATTGCGATCGCTCACAAACTCAAGTTTCTTCTGGGAAAAGGGTCTCCTGTTTAAAAAAATGCGTTTGTTTTATTATTTAATGTTGCTTAACCCATTCATTACCTCCTGTGAATACAAACACATTACTCCATGCCGTCACACATTACATTTGAAGGCGGTCGCCCAACGGCGTCTAAGGCATCTTGCTAAAGCATGCTAAGGCGCCCATTGGCAGCTTCGGCATGATTTATAAAAATATCACGTATATAAAATATCACAAGTAGGTATAACCTCCTTTTACCCTATTCGCCACGGTGTTTGATGTCAACCATTTATGTATATATTACTCTATAATGTCAACTAAACTTAATCAGGTTTAAACAAGTGAAAAAAACATAAAAACGAACATTATTTTTACATATGGCTGGTGGTACAATAGGCGTATCATTAGGGCTGCTATCTCTAAAACCTACCCCCCAGGACCGGTTAAAATGATATCTTACATCATTATCATATGTACATGATATAGGTATATATACGTATACGTAAGTATATATTACTTCCATGTTTACAATACTTCAATGCTTACAAGCCAACTTCAATTGGCAACAACTTCTTAATAGAGTTAACTAACTCCAAAGTTATTAGTTGCACTAGACATAAAATAGTGTATGTACAGACAGCGGTACTCGCTTGTTCTAATCTACCAATATTTTGGTATTATTGGAGGTAGGTCAAAACACAAGACATGTAGCATTATAGCCGCAATTTATTTTTAATAAATGTTATTCACACAGCAGCAATTTTCTCCTGTATTGTGAATTAAGCATACATATAAATTATATTAACACCCAGAACAATTTTTCGTAAGCCATATGTGCAAGAATTGAATTCGCAAAATCATAGCTATTTATTTAACTACTACCCTAACAATGTATGTTTCTTTCAAAGTAATAATCGATAACCACATTCATTTTGTAAGCAGTATTACCTGTATTGAGTCATTGCGGTTGCCCCAAGGCATATTCTGCGTTAAATGAAACTCGCCCTCAGGTTCCACGCGGCCAAACCCACCATACTTTTTGCTATCCGAACATAGAACGGCCTGAAATATATTAATAGCATTAAATTCATGACATATTATACCTATACGGTTAAATTTTCAAATTACATTTTCGAGTCTTATTAATACTACGAGATCTATCGTCGAATTCTTTCAGTTTACACTATTGAACAAACTTTATATATCGAGGTTCAATATATTATGGTGATTAATTTCAAGTGAGGGTCAATATATATGGATCACAATAATTTAACAACTTAATACTAATATATAACTACTAATATAATACTGTTATAGGGGGTATCAGTTGTATAAATTACAGCCTATATACGTCCGACTGCTGGGCACAGTCCTTCTATCACTCCTGAGTGTTTTAGGCAAGGAATTTCCGCCGAGCTGCCCCAATGCGTGTTGGCGGACTTCACATATCTTCGAATTTGTATTTTTAGACATGCAGGTTTCCTCACGATGTTTTCTTTCACCGTCGAGCACGTGGGAAATTAGCACCTAGAATTGCAAATAAAAATTTCATTGGTTTCGGCGGGGTTCTAGCCAGGGTTGCTCGAGTCGCCTATTTTCGAGATGTTTTCGCTGTTGGTCTATGCGGAAATAGCGAGCCAATATTGCTCGAGTACTGTGGAAATCAACTGTATGATCACCATTAATTTCATCATTACGTATCCAAATCTGCCGAACTATTTTGTGTACTTAAGACTCTTGGATTTATGAATCATATGTTAATTATTGAATAATTTATGTTTCTTGTCATCTTTTTTTGCTGCTTCCGTTATCTTTTTGTCTTTTTCATTTCCAAATCTCCGAATATTTTGTGTTTAAGACTCTTTTCTATGTTATTTGATTTTCTTTCATGTTCTTTTTTAAATAGCTTTACACTGCACGCTTCAAACACCGTTAATACTTTTTCATCACGTCGTACACGTTAGTCCCTTCTTTAGAGAGGGTTTGCCTTCACTTGTCACGCTTGGTAGGCAGATCTACGATCGCAGCGCCAGACGTCTCGTTCCTTTGACGCTGCCGTTGTCGCCGGACTGGCTAAGGTCTGGGTATTTTACGTCTGACGCAAACAAGATGGTTATATCGCCATGTATCAGTAGCCATAAGTTTTTTTAAAATTCTACATAGTCGCCCTTACAAAGTAGATACGTTACACTGACGATTAATGTAAAAGGTACCTGCGGGTAAAAGGACTAAGGGAAATTCGACATAAAATGAGAAATAACAATACATTTTTAATAAAAATCATTGGTTTAGTACAATTTCTACAATGTATGAACGAAGAATTTTAACATTTGCCATAAAGAAAACAAAATCAAACATTTCTAAATACCTTGTTAGTAGGTCTTATTTTACTATGGCAGTATAATAAGGCCTACCTACTGCTTTAACGAACGCAAATAATCAAATTATACGTAATATATTTAATATTTGTCATCAATAACCACATGAATGCAGCAATTGAAACTTAAAATTCAAAAACAAATATAAATTATTTCGTCTAATGGCTCCGCCAAACTATACTCTTCGCGATGCCAATTAATTGCGCGAGTAGAGCAGTGTGTTTCCTCCCAACCGAATTTCTGTCACAGCGGCCAGCCTCAACGGAATTTAGTCTATTTGCACGGCACAGAATTATAGTGTACAAATGTATGCGCGGGCTCAGGTGCTCTATTTCCTCACAATAATCAAAACGCAATCCGACTCGGTCCGAGAGAGCTAAGGCGCAGGACCAATAATTTACACATAATTTAATAGCTTCTAATGTCAAAGCCTTTTCACGGCTTGGACAGCTGATTAGTTTAGTAAAAAACCTTCAGTTTATTTGCATTTATAACGTTTTAAAGGTGATATAAAATACATTATAGGTAAGACAAAAAAACTATACACAAAAAGGAGTATAAGGCCTATAGTGAAATTTAGTAGGCCTTAATAACCTTCGATCAACAATGTACGTATTTAAGAAAAAACATATAAAAAATGGACCGCGATACGTTTTACAAATCTTCAAGAACAACTAAGCATTTATTACGATTTTAGATAGCTAAGTGTAATATTACCAAACTCACATACGATTTATTTGGACTGTTTTCACGGTCGTATCTTATAATAGAATAATGCAACTCTGATCATAGGACTCGAAGTAGCGTAACGTAAACTTGTAGAGATCGTGATATATGAGGATATTATTGTTTCCTTGAGCGAGAGCGGTTATTAAAAATACTATTTTTGTTACTTAAGCCTTATTAGCCGACAGGCCTTATTACTCGCAGGTATCTTAATTTACAACATCTATGGGACGAAACCTTCAACATCAATACTAAGTAATCACCACACCGTCGTGTGGTCCGTGTCGTGCGTTTGAGTGGGTCCCTGGATGGTTTAGATTTGGACCCGGTAGGTGACGCTGTTGTCGAGATCCAGAAATCACCCGTGCGAAGCCGGGGCGGATTGCTAGTAAACTTATAAAACTAAAAGACCTCAGGCATTTCTGTTCAATATAAATAATATACTTACCTGGTATTTTCCGGACACATTGACCCCAACTCTGTAGTCCGTGAAGCTCTGGAATGGATGGAAGTTGAATACAAACAACAGGCCAGCTCTCTCGAACGCTATTACCTTGTCACCTTCATGTTTGCATGACACATAGGCCTGAATAAAAAAAAATAAGCTAAAACAAAGTATTTTATTTTGTTGAATATAAATAAAGAAAAATGTAAGTGTCATCATTTTCCCAAAGTTCTTCATTGATTTCTTTGGCACGACGTTATATTCGAATACGCGCATGTTTCCAGCCACCCGTGGCTCTAAAAGTTAAAATGAATGGCTCAGTTCAAGAAGTCCACTTAGGGATTTTATGCACTAGCAACAAAGCCAGTTAAAGCTCTTCATTTTCTATGGTTTCAGGTTTAGTCTATTTGTATAATTTCTAACACATTCCAATGCACTGTTTTTGTAATAAACACCATAAACTCTTAGTTCAGTGATTTGAAATCCCCAAGTCCCTTATATGTAGTACTTATATATATATATATATATATATATATATATATATATATATATATATATATATATATGAATAAAAATGTTTTAGAGTTAAGTAAGATTTTTGATATTTTAGTTCATAAGGAAGGATAACAGGCCTACTGATAAGAATAACAGCTTTTTTTGTTTTTGAGCCATTTTACTAATATTAGACTGTTTAATAATAATTTAAAAAAAATCTAAGTTCTAATTTTTTAACACATTCCCTCAAGTCTCCCTAAGAAGAAGCTCTCTAGAAGTCTCCCTAGAAATCCCTAACTTACTTAAAATCCCTAGGACCTACTTGAATATCTCAAGTCCAAAAGAGTTTGTTTTGAGTTCAACCATATTTTTAGTACTACTTTCTTCCATTAACAATAAATATTTTAGATTATAGACGTTATTTTTAAAGAACTTTATAACAATATCGTTTCAAGGACCAAAATAAAAGTTTATGTGCAAAAATTTCAAAACAGAAAAAAGGATTCAGGGACTTTTTCCCGTCCCTTCATCAGGGACGATCCCCGCCGGCACCAATGAAATTGTAAATTTCAATTTTAAGTGCTGATTTACCACGTGCTCGGCGGTGAAGGAAAACATCGTGAGGAAACCTACATGTCTGAGGAATAAGAAAAAAATATTTCGAAGACATGTGAAGTTCGTCAACACGCATTGGGGCAGCGCGGCAGACACTTCCTTGCCCTAAACCCCTCTCAGAAATGAGGGGAGGCCTGTGCTCAGCAGTGGGGCGTTATATAGGCTGTAACTTTACTTTTAATTTAAACAGTTCTAATCTGCGGGTTTAGCCAACATGATTTTCTACAATCGTCAACACGTAAACTCTAAAGAGATTTTACCCAAAATATTAAGATCGTTTTGCAATTGAATAATTTGTTCCAATAATAAAAATGTACTAACCGGATCAGATCTCAGCCATCCATGTTTCTCTTCCAAATCGTTCATGTCGCGGTCAAACTCGTTAAGAAACTTATATTTGAGAAGAGGATCGTCGACGAGATGCCATTGCCGACGCGCGTAGTGATACGAGGAGTTGTTACCAGCACGCGGGAAGTCCAGCCACTCAGGGTGACCGAATTCATTACCTAAATGGATTAAATCATGACATCTTATTACAAATGATACATGAATTACCTAGCGACACAATGTGAATTCCAGTACCCCATATCATCCCGTGGGTGTCGTAAGAGACGACAAAGGGAAACAAAATCAGGATATGGGCAGCAGCATCTCCGTATAATAGAGACTAAAAATAAAACTGCCAAGTATCAATGTAATATGCCAGAATACTAACTAAATATTCTAACCTACGAAGTTGTTATAGTAAGAATATTTAGTTAGTATTCTGGCACATTACAGTGTCAGTGTTCAGAGAATTTGTAACCTCATTATCGTAAGAGATGACTATGGGATGTATCATCTCGTTTGCGCCAAACGTTAAAATACAGACACCGGTGACGAATAGCAGCGTTAAATGTGCTCACGTGTATTATGCGACTGTCCATCCGCCTGCAAAGCACGACGATTGAGGCAAATACTTCCTACAAAAGAAGAGGCCGTGTCCAGCAGTGGGTTACTTTGGGTTGATGAAGATAGAAAAAAACGAAGACTTCCGGCGATAAGTAGCAGCGTCATCTTGGCGACCATCATGACAAATCTTCGCTAATACAGGAGAAATGAACTCAATTGTATACGAACGTACGTATAGTGGCGTATGAACTCAAGGGTCATAGCCAAGTGTAGAAAGGCCGCCTGCCGAGCCACGTTGGATGTGTGTTAGTGGGCTGCGGCTAGAAGAGATTCCTCTCCTTGTACCGCTACAGTCGAGGTGAAGTCATAGCAATATACTGTTTAGAAGCTAATTATGAAAAAGACATATCTTATAGGCTATTTTGAGATGTTTGTGCTGTTAGCCTATGCGGCTCTTACACTTCGCGTACACCTAATCCGTCATCGGCCGAAGTTTACTCGGGCGATGAGGGCCGAACTCGGACGATCGAATCAAACACTTGTAAAACAAAGAGAACGCATACACAAACATGACCGCAAAGATGTTTTATAAGTACCTATAAAACATCTTTGCATGACCGTTAAAGCGCTTCTACACGGTCGGGACCAACCACCAACCGTCGTGACCTTGGTGGGGTCAACCGATTTTTGTATTCGTTCTACACGGTCGGGTGGTTGACACAACTCAACAACGTTGTCACTGGTATTTAAAGAGTAAAGACGTAAGGTAGTTACTTTTAAAAATGGCTCCTTGCTTTTCTGTACAACAAAAAATCGGTTTAGCTTTAACGTTTCTATGCTTGAATGAAGATGAAAAAAATGGATAAAATTGTCGCTGAAAGAGCGCATTACTTTAAACAAACATGACATGGTAAATCACAATACAGTGACAAGAATTCGGTCAGGACCTCACGTTCTTCGTATCCATAGTGCCGTTAAACATCCGCCTGCGACGACTGCTAAGCGCGCACTGAGGCTCTCTAGTCGGCCGACAGCGTTCCACACGGTCGGCGTCAACCACGGACCCAACGTGTCGTGAGGGATGCGCTCGCGACCAAGGCCGTCGGACTCAACCAAAATATTGGTCAGACAACCGATGTCTACACTGTCCATTTTTACATCAACAACAACATGACGGTTGGTGGTTGGTCCCGACCGTGTAGAAGGCCTATTATCGTCCGTAACGCACGAAAATGGCCGATCAACCGTCGAGTCCGAACTTGTTGGGATTTCTCGCCCGACTCTACAGTGCAAATTGAGTGTATTTATAGTTTAATTTAATCATTCTGTCTTTATTCCGTTGTTTCTGTCAGTGTTGATATCTACCTAAACGACTATGGATATTGAAAAAATTAGTTGCACATAAATATTTCATTAACCCACACAAGCCGATGTCTAGCCGGTGTGAACTTTCTAAAAGATACCTTTCTTGGAATTCCTCCACTTTAAAAACGCGTCTTCACTCTGTTAAGACACAGTCAACTACAGAATACCTGCAACGTTCAACGTCGGCACAAGTGGTACACTGTTGCAGTGTAATAAATAAATAAAATAAAATCCTTTATTTCGACCAACAATAGTCATAGATTGTTAGTAAAACAACTTACCTTAATGACCAATAATACCAACCTTAACTTAATATTAGTTATAAAATTAAATAGAAACTAATATTAAAATGTTAGTAACAATGATACTTATCCTATATTAGTAACTTAACCTACACCCAGCCTCACATAGCGAAACCCAGGTGGGGTTCTCCTGGTGCTGGTGTGTGCACCATTTCAAGTTCTCCAGAGAGGGCTATCCAGCTTCACAGCCAATGTGTTGAGAAGGGTGTTGGAGCTCCTCAATAGCCTGCTCACCATCGCTTGCGATGATCGCGTGGAAGTCGTCCACACGAGCGTCCGCAAACATTGCCGACGCACTGCAGTGTCGAGACCTCCTCAACATCACCCTCAGCACATTGTTGTACTAAACACGCAGAGCACTGTAGGCTCGCTGCGTATAGTTAGTCCACAGACTGCACGTGTAAAAGGATTGGCAATACGCCTTGAACATCTGCGAGCCAACATATTGCCCTGGACCGACAGCGCTCGGCGCTCTCGTTCAATGTCGCTGTCGTCATCCAGGCGTTCAGTTACAATATGTCCGAGGTACCTAAACTCAGCCACTTGTCTCAGAGCCGTGCCACATAGTGTAAGCACATACACGTCCGAGTCACTCGTCCAGGTAGTTCTGTCCGCCATCGGCCAACAAAATCGGTTTTGCTGTACACGTACCGTTACAGCTTCATCTGACTCAGGGCCAGGGCTCACAGCCTTGCAGGCCGCGATCTATGCTAGACCACGAGCTATGCTAGGCCGCGAGCTAATCTTATAAGCGGTAGACATGCTGCAACTATATGCATATAGTGACTCGTTATGGTTCCTAATTTCAAACAATTCTCGTTTCTTGTTTCTTTTTAGTCCACAGTAAACTAAGTTGTTAGTTAGCTAAGCTGATCTTCATTCGCCTAATCTAGTCATTTTAACTCAAAAATTTACTTACCAATAAAATTGAGGTATGCCTCTCCGCCGAGCGCATGAGTAATGAGTCGTATCATACAGTGCAAAGCGAGCCCGCGCTCCACAATTGGATTAGGCTCGCTGATAATACTCATGTGGCTGTACATCGCCGCGTCCATCAGCCAGAACGCGATTGTCTTGTCGCCTACCAACGCCTGCGTAGATCTACTACTGTTAATTTCTTACTTTTTACGTAGTCGAGCGAGTGGTTTGTAGTCAATTTATAGGATGAGTGGTATGTGTAACGATTATGTGTAATCCTATCAAGTTGGGATCAGATTATATCTATCATGTCTGCATAATATTTTAACAATTTGTAGGTCTTTCCTACATTCTTGCTCAGAAAACCGACTGTGTTTTCGTGTGAGGGATATTATAATTATGTGCTATATGGCATTTTGTCTTAGTCCCAATATTTGTGTTACTGCCACTTACCATCAGGTTGAAAATTACCCAGTTAGTCAAACAAAATAATTATTAAAAAATTAACTGCTATCGTCATGTGCTAATGACTTATCCCAATATGCAAAACACACCCATTAGTTTTTACATTAACAAGATGCTGAAAATAGTTCGTTTTTACGTGGTAGAGGCCATGTTGCAGCTATATTAGTAGTATAGTTGTAGCACGAATGAGTCGGCTCGATCGGGAAAAGACCACGCTCTCAGAATACCAGTGTAAAATAGCAGCTTAATGCTGCTGTGTTTCTTATGGTGAGTGTAGAGAACCGGAGACCCTTTTTACTGGAAAAGAAGCATTCCATCTTGGTCCTCATGGGTGACAACGCATTTGCATTTTGATTCGTGATCGAGGCTTGATGTAGATGTCTATGGGCCGCAGCAACCACTTACCATCAGATGGACTGTGTGCTCGTTTGTCACCCTTATCCTATAAAAAAATAGAAACTGAAAAACGGGTCACCGAAAAATAAACTGACTAATATTCAGAAAAAGAGAATCTAATCCAGAACTTAGTACCTGCATATTTATTCCTTCCTGGGAATAGCACCCGCAGCCGGAGCTATTTTCTCAATATGCTTTGAAATTTTTGTAACCCTGACTTTGAATCCTCGACGACTTCCGATCTTATCACATGAGAGTTACATCATGGGTACCTTAGGTTGGGTGCCATTTCAACATTACATGTGTTAAAATCAAACAAGCCGTTTAGTCTACAGAGCGTGTGAAAGATATAGGCATACATACATACATTACACTCGAAAAACGTTACCCTGCTTCTGAGGCAGCCAGGTAAAAACATAGGAAATTGGGAAGTTATCTCTCTCTCTACTCTCTACTCTACTCGATATCCATTATACTACAACCAGACCAAAGAGGAATAGTCTGCATTTGTATCAATCAATGTTAGAAAATATAAAGTCCCAAAAACTATGTCATAATTATGTCATGTCTGACCTGATCGTGACTCTCAGCATAAGCGACGGTACCCTCCATCCAACGCCTGTTGGTGAGTGTGTGCACGATGTAGCCCATCTTCCAATCTTCGTCCCGTTCTTCCTTCAACAGCTTGATCCACATATCGGGGATGGCCATGCCTAGACGGTAGTCGAAGCCTGTACCGCCCTCGTGTACTGGTCGTCCTGATGCCGGCATGCCAGACACGTCCTAGGGATATTATTTAACTACAGTAAAGTTTTAACCATACGTTCCATTACTAGGTATGTTTCTGCTTTCTTTATGATGTTTTCTTCGCCGCCGAGCTAATTTTAAATAAACAGACCGGCATTTAAGGCAAGTCTCCCATGTATTTAATAGCATTGAATTGTTGATATTGTCATTATGATTTTTTTTATAGAAGAGGGGGCAAACGAGCATGATGGCAAGTGATTAGCGCAGCCCATGAACAACCGCAACACCATGGGAATTGCAGGTGCGTTGCCAGCCTTTTAAAAAGGAGTAAACTCTTTTCTTGAAGGTCCCTAAGTCGTATCGGTCCCGAAAAATCGCCGGTGGTAAACAGTTCCACAGAGAAGTAATACGAGGAAGAAAACTACTAGTAAAACGCACAGTGGTGAACCGCCATGCATCGATGATGGTGAGTATGGTACCTTGAATTTTGACGCGATGTGCGTTCGTGAAATTTGGTGGCTGGGATTAATCCGAACAATTTCTCAGAGCACTCCCTGTGGTAGATGCGATCGAAAATGCAAAAGGATGCAACATCCCAATGCGCCAATGAATCGAGCCGATCAGAAAGACCTCGGTCGTCGACGATTCAAACCGCTCTGCACTGGATGCGGTCAAGTGGAAGGAGCTGGCACTGGGGTGCCCCGGCCCAGAGATAAAAACAGTATTCCATGTGAGGCCGAACATGTGCTTTGTAAAGTTGATGAAATACTGCCTCGCTCTGCTGAGCACGCCAAGCTAAGGGCAATTTGGCCTTCCCCTCCAAGTGAACACGAAACTGCACACTATTCGATATGTCGACGCCGAGGATTGCGATAGCTAGATATACTAGCTGAGGCAGCAAGGGGAGTGCCTTGAAACTGAGGAGATACGACAGAGGGGTTCTTTTTAGCGGTAAACGCGCAAACTAGATTTAGTCGCCCCCAATCCGAGACTTTGTTCAGCAAAGACTCAACTTCAGACACATGTTTGTCCCGACACTCGGCGACTTTTTCCCATATATATGGATACAGTCACGACGCGAGCATGAGGTTTCGGCGAGCATATTTTTTATTATATACTAGCCATTCCCCGCGACTTCGCTCGCGTGGAATTTATTATGATTGAATTTCATGGGTTTTATTTTTTTTTATATACACTTATTATTTTTCTAAAATAAGAGTAGCCTAAGTTACTCCTTATAACATGTGCTATCTGCCAGTGAGTCCCGTCAAAATTGGTCCAGCCGTGTCGGAGAATAACTGGAACTAACAGATAAATAGTCAAACAAAAATTTTAAACCGTATATACGGTATACACTTTCATAACCATTTAGAAAAAGCTGTTATTTTGACATTACAAACAGACACTTCAATTTTATTTTTTATATGGAGTTCATAAATTCAATAATTACGGCAGATATGTTGATTATTATTTTAATTAATTTTCTTTGCAGTCTGTGGTTTTCGCCAAAAGTTTTAAATTGATTTTTAATAAAGTTGGGTCGATTTTATTTAAAATTTAACAATAATAATTTGGTAAATATATTTAAGACCGCGTAACCTTTAAACGTTATTTGTATGGTCGATGGATGCAGGTGGCTCAGGACCATACTTTGTGGCAACCTATGAGAGAGGCCGATGTTCAAAAGTGGACTTGTGATTGGCTACAGCTGATATACAGAACCTTTAAACTGAATCTGTCATATTTATTTAAACGAAAATCTGACAAATTCAAAGACCTGGATATTATGTTCTAGATCGAGTTAACACAATGTTTTTAAATGGTTCATATTCAAAATAGAATCAACTCTGGCTGACAACTTGGGCTGAATCGGATTCCAGTAAAATTCCGATTTATAATTCCAGTGACGCCGACTCTGAACTGTCTGACCATATCTAAGCGATCTAGTATTTTGACTGAAACATCGCGGTAAATATCACGAAAAGAAAACGACAAATATAATTTTATGGTGGTTTTTTTAAGTTAATGATAATGACTTTTATAAAATGGCGATTTATGCTAGAAAATGGCAATATTAAAGCTGTATTTTTAAAAACATAATGTATACTCTACGCTATGAGTTTCTTCTGCATGGTGGAGGCGTTTACGTGCATAAATTGCACATAGACAATAACCAGAAAATTATGTGTAATAGGCTAGGCTTTACAAAATTATTCAGTGCCAGATCAGAACCCACAGCCCGTAACGTTTTGCCACTGCGCTCCCGAGCTGTATTATTAGAGAATACATTTACAAGAAACATTATATTACAAGTGCTTAGTGCGTATTTTTTTCCTACTTAACACTTGTCACTGCCTGTTCACACGCACTAAGCGTTTGTCATTTGTCAGTTGCACTTGCCACTCGCACTTGTCACTTCTCAAAATGTGGCCCAGGAATCCACGTGACAAGCAGACGTGACACTACTGGACAGAGAAAGATAAGCGGATCATAAATATGCATGGGTTGTGTTTTTATTTTGTTCTGTGCAATGAAGCCTTACAAATTTAATATAAACACTTTCATTCTTCTTGCAATTCTGTCTATATATTGGTGGTTAGGAGATTTCTGTCAGCAATTCCCCTATATATAGCAATACCACCTATTGCATGTACTTTTTTTATAGTACGAGTATATTCTGCATACATGTTTTTGTATGGTGAGAAAGTATAAAGTGGAAAATATTTCCACCTACCTCTGCAATTGTGATAGCCCTGCTATCAAGTTTGTGAATGAGCTCGTTGGCAAGCATGAGGTAAACTAGAGCTTCTGTATCCACGTTTAAGCCAAAATATTCATCATAGTGACCGGAAAAGCCTTCACCGATGCCACGGCTATGGTAAAGCATAGATGTAACCCCGTCGAACCTTTAAAAAAATTCACACACATATTTCATTGTCTTAATTTAAAAATAAATTTTTAACATTATTTTTACATAGCATTATTCTAAGTATAGCATGCCCCAGCGGTAATTTAAAAAAAGGCCCGACCTACGTAGTCGAAGTTATTTTTAAAAGTGGCTGAATAGAAAGTACTTCATAGGCTACTTTATATCACTGTGTTACCGTTGGTCCCGCGCCTGATCTCTACAGTAGTATCGGGTTGCCGTACCATCGGACTATGAGAGTGACATACGTGCAAGCACAGCTGCAAGCAACTTTGGTGACTAACGACACCTCAGAAATACAAAGTTTTTTATTCAACACAAATTATAAATAATACTTATTGAAAGTCACTCTTTTACATAATGATTTCTATACAGCGTGATAGTGCAAACACCGTTATCCTTAAAACCAGTGGTTTGGTTTCACTTATAGAACGTAAATTCAATGAAAAATAACAATATTTTTTTTAGTAAAATCTAATTTTTTCCTTAATTCCTCAATTTTTGCCTGTCCTAAGCCAGGATGAAAGTATGAAGGAAAAGTTACATCATAGGTTATGTGTACCTATTGTTTTTATTGGAATGTTGTGTGGGTAGCTAGCGCGGCGGTGATCTTTACAATGATTACGTCACTCGGGCGCATAGGGTATCCATGAATAAACGGATAGTGTCGGACAGAAACTTTTTAAATTATATGAAAGAAAGTTTTTTTAAAATTCGGATAAATATTTTTATATTAAAGCCAACTACCTATGGTTTTAGTGACAACGGTGTTTACACTTACACCTTGTATTTACGCGAACACTACACTATTATATTTATATTTACCGATCTACTCAGACTCGTAGGATCCGTAGGGTAGATCGGACCATAAATAATAATTAAAAAGCTGAAGGTGCTCCGGGTTAACATTGACATGGGGAATTCAGTCACCTCAGTCCCCCGTGACCATGGGTGCTAGAAAGCACTCGAAACGTCGGGAATTAAAAATAATTTAAAATACATGTGATAAAATCCGTAAAAGTAGTTTTAGTCACTCTTTTGTTTTGTTTACCACTGCTTCGGAAAAAACTCTGTCTTGGGAAGAACCAGCAAGAAAACCAGCGGGTCATTTTTTTGAAAAAATAGCATATCCATAATATGTTAATTCCATCGTGTCACCGTGCCATTATCATTCTTCTGGGATTATCGGGTGAAAAATATTGGAAGTCACACCATTATTAATAATATCTTCCGAATCGAATTTCGGTCACGTAGGCAAGTCTCAACGGATACTATAGCTATCTGCGTGGAACAGGATTGTGCACGAGCGAGTGCGCAAGCGTTCTCTATTTCCTCACTCACATAGTCCAATAGGACGGTAATCCGACATGACAGAGAGAAAGATAGAGGTCAGGCGAAGGACCAACGGCTTTACCTGCTTCCCACGGCACGAGGGTAAACACCACCAACTTCCTGACTCTTGGTGGCAACTGATAATTTTTTGACAAAAATACCTTAATATTGATTTTGGTCCATCTGGGATTCGAACCCACCTTACGGCAACGAGACCAGCGGCAACCAGACCAGTGAGGTCAGCATTATCTCATTAAGAGGATACCTTGAAAATGAATCGAAGTTTTGGGGGCGTGGCTTATTGCCTTTGTCGGTGAAGCTAACGGACGACTGCGGGAGTGTCAAAATGAAAGTGATGCAATGACTTCATAGTACGCAAATTATGAGATAGCCATACCGAGCAAGCGCTCGGAAAAAAACTAAGTAAGCGCCAAACAACATTTTTATTTATTTTAACAAAACTTTGTTATGGATTAAAAAACTGGTTTATGAGAGCTTAAATATGATTATTTACTATGCCTTAAAAATAACTCCATGTTATTCGTAAGAATATTGTGTTGTCATGAGAAATGTAAATAATTAGAGCCTACCTTGCAATTTTTTTCTATCGAGAAAATTGCATGATATCGTGTTTTCCTCATGCAATCTAAGGTCATATAGTCAAAAATCATAGCAAAATTTTGGTTTGTAATCTAAAAAACTTAAAAAAATATGTTAAATAGAAAAACAACCAAATTTTCGAGGTATCACCTTAATATTGAAACAGCTAGACTAGTTTATTTTAGTTATTTTCATAGCATAATGTCGTTAAGGGATTTTCCTATGGGGAAATTCGACTGACTCAGAAACTACTTTTATTTCGCTGAATAGGGCTCCAAAAGCAACTCATAACTAATTTCTTAATAATGTACTTACTCTGTACATCATATTTAAATTATTTTTGTGAGTAATTCATTCTTGGGGCAATACTATAACTAAGTAGTGGGACGCCTAGTCTACGCTAGAAGAAGTCTAAAAGTCCTACGCTGGGTAGGTCCTGCCAGCAAATAGAAGTTTGCACTGCTGTCAATCTGGAGTGTTTATAAAGCCAGTATATTTACAGGCTGTGACAGATTCGATCTTAGTCCTCAGAGGTGACAACGCGATTCCTTTAAGGCTTAGTTTAGCTTACTTTACTAAGTAGGCTTATTTTCATTAAGTTAATTCTTAGCTAAAAATTCATAGCTAGGTACATTGTTATCCAATATATAAAAATATGATATATTGTGTTATGTTATAGTCAAACACAACCTCTTCCATAATCAACGATAATTCTTATATTTACCTGAAACCATCAAATTGATATTCTTCTTGATACCATCTCAGGTTCGATAACAAGAACCTTAGCACCTCAGTTCTGTGGACAAAAATACTATGTTTTAAATACCTTTTAACAAATAATGTTTACTAATGCGGCCTGATATTGAATTCGATGAAAAAAATGTAAGTTGTCATTGTGACCTGAAGATAACTTACTTTGAATATCCTCTAATGCTATATACTAGTGCGTGAGGGTAATGTGGTCATCCGGCTAATATGGTCACTTTCTTATAACTGCAAACCTATAGTCTTGTTTGCATAAATGAATTTGAGATACGATAGCTCTTTATTAGTCAATCAAATAATAGGGGAAGACCGGGCAATGAGGGTCAGCGGGTAATGGTGGTCACCCACTCATCTCCAAAAGTATAAACGATAGAAACGCGTTGACGGTCTTCCCCGCCCCGCTCCGAGCCCCCGCTGTCACTGCGAGCGCGCCGCGTCAGTGCGTCGACGTCGGCGGTCTAGAGAACGAGAGGTGTATTTTGTTTTTGCGGCTCGCCGATGTAAATTTTCACCAACGAAAAATAAACAGTAAGTATTATAGTTATTGATATACTTGTCTGTTACTTTTTTTACGTCTTTACTTGTACATTCAGTGTTATGATTACATACTTAAATCCCGAGTGTTTCCAATATATATTTCGTGTTTATTTATTTTTTTGTTTCATAACGGACTTGTGGGTAATGAGAATCGGGTGAGTCCCATTGCCCACTAGTGATCACGAGCATTGCAGCATTGCAAAAGCTATAATAAAATTTTGTTATTTTGGTCTTAGATGCGAAAATTTTGGAGCTGCTAAAGTTTCGAATATTCCTTTCTCAAGTCTCCAGAAAAGATTCAATAAAAAAAGTAACTTGGCACCACGTCTGGGACGGCTGACTGTGTTTAACGCTGAACAAGAAAAGCAGTTGGCAGACTTGATAAAGCAGATGGCGAATATTTTCTATGGATACACAGCTATAGAAATAAGAAAATTGGCGTTTAAGTACACTGAAAAAATGAACTTAAAACACAATTTTAATCAGTCTTCTAAAATGGCTGGTCGTGACTGGTTGGAATCTTTTATGGCTAGAAGTGATATATCTGTCAGAAAACCAGAAGACCAGCACAAATGAAAGAAATGAAATTATTTTATCAGCTGCTGGGCGAACTGACGGCAAAGCATAAATTTGTCCCCAAAAACATCTATAATTGCGACGAAACGGGCATTACTACTTCCAATCCCTTGAACAAATACTAGCAGCTAAAGGGCTAAGAAGAGTAGGTTCAATCACAAGCTGAGAGAGAGGAAAGAATATAACGTTAATGTGTGCAATGAACGCTGCCGGTGGAATTATCCCACCCATGTTTATTTTCCCCCGAAAAAGACTGACTCCACTTCTTGAAAAAGATGGGCCAGCAGGAGCTCTATATAAACGCTCGGATAATGGCTGCATAAATGAGCAGCTTTTTATTGAATGGCACTCGCACTTCAAGCACCACTCGCACACTTGCTAAACCATCTGCCGAAGAACCAATCCTGCTGATATTGGACAATCATGCCAGCCATATATCGCTGCCTGTTTACGAATATAGTAAACTCAACCACATCCATATGCTTTCTCTACCTCCTCATACCTTGCATAAAATGCAACCTGTTGACGTTTCGTTTTATGGACCACTGAAAGCGGCATATACAAAGGAATGCGACTTATATATGAAAAGTCACCTGGCCGAGAAAATTACCCCTTACAAAGTAGCATCCTTATTGCGGAAGGCATTTAACAACGTCGCGTCCATCAGTAAAGGTGAGGCAGGATTTAGAGCTACAGGTATTTATCCGATGAACCCTGATGTATTTTGTGAAGAAGATTTTCTAGCAGCCGAATTGCTCCAGTCAGCAGAACCTACGGCCATTCAAAACGTTGATGAATCAATGGAAATTCATAGCTCAGCACCAGGTTTAGAAAGCTCTTTAATACCTGGCACATAATGCAAGATAATTCACCTCCACCAACAACGACGCCACCAAGAACTTCTAGCTCAGTCAATTGTGCAGCCCCTGGGAACCCATCAGTGGAAATTGTTTCAACAGCACCTGGTCAATATACTCACCAGTTCCTAGCACATCACGTCAAGTTGATTTAATAGTCTCTAGTCTTGACATTGTGTCGAAACTAACTAAGTTGCCAGAAAAAACCAATAACCACAATACGAGACAAGGTCGCAAGAAGCAGCATGCAACAATTTTAACATCTACACCAATAAAAGAAAGACTAATAGAAAAAGAAAATAACAAAAAGAACACAGTCTGCCCACCCAAAGATAAAGATAGGGGAAAGGGAAAAATATAACTAAGGGCAAGGGCACGCCAAGCCAAGGAAAGAAGACGAAAGTGTCGGAAAAAGGGGATCAAAAGAGTAAAGTGAAAGGTTCTCCAGGAATCAAACGATACCTCTGTATCAGACGTGGGCACATATGATTTGTGTCAAGATGATGAACTAGATGATGCTGACGGCGCAGGAAATGTATGCTTAATCTGCAACGAATTTGGAAAAAATAATGAGGTTCGGTACAGGTGCACCTCATGTGGTTTATGGGCTCACGCAGATGTACTGGGTGGGAGTCTGCCAAGGACTATATTTGCGATTATTGCTAGATTTTTCTACGATTCTTATTGCTCACAAGGTGACCTCAATTACCCGTACCTCAGGGCAATGGGAGTCGAAACAGTTTTTTTTTAATACTGTTATATTTCCCAAAAATGATGATTATTGTGATAATTATTGATCTCCAATTATAGCTAATTAAGTAAATTTTGTTATGAGGTGGTTGCAATAAAGATTTTGTTAATTTTATTTGTGTATTCTAATTCTTGCTTAAGTGACCCCCATTACCCCTTTCTACCCTAAAGAGTCAAAAGGGCGCCTCCTTATTGACGCCATTTTGACAGTTCAAATTATAGTAAATATTTTAGTCGATTTAGTAGTAGAGTATTGAGTACTGTAGTTGCTCTTTTAAAGTTGATTTTTCGAAGTGTTCCTAATTATTGCCAAAGCCTGTTTGCTATTGCTTTCTCAATAATATATTAGTTATAGTATATGGCTTTGCTTTTTGTCTCTATCCTGCTCTTAGTTTTGGTTTTATAGGGCGGCAAAACTTAAGGTGACCATATAAACCTCACGTACCTACCATATTATATACAATTTTTAAAGAGATTTTTATCTTAAACAGGCGGGAACATTCTTATGCTGTGAATGTTGTAACTGGAAAAGTCTTTGAAAGAAATAAACTAATTCAACTTACTCTGAGTAGTTAAAGAGGCGACTGTCCCACAGCGTGTGAGTGCCTCGCGGCCCATCATGGAAGTAGCAGGCAGTGGTACCGTCGAACTCGTTCAGGCCGTCCAGCGTGTTTTTGGATGCGTGTGAGTGCACGACGTCCAGAAGAACGTACAGACCCATCTCGTGAGCTCGATCGATTAGCTGTTTCAATTCGCAGGGGGTACCATATCGGCTGCGGAAAAATATACGTATTTAATTTAAATATATGCTGGCTGCTTACAACGAAATTATTACCTGTTATTATAGTCGATATTTTATTGTCAGGAATCGATTTTGTTTGTTGACAAAAATCAAAATATAAAAAATTTTGACTTGTGTTGTTCATAGAACAAAAATTCCAATAACTCCACTACAAACTAAAAGTATTGTATAAAATATGACAAAACGATTAAAGTTGCTGCCTGTCGGAGCATTTGTCATATTTGCAATCGTATGGGTCTATCGAGAAATAAATAAATAAAAAGTATTCATTTGCCCCAAAAAATACAATGTTAAAATTTAAATAGACATCTTAATAATTAGTTGTGACAAAACGGTCTGTGACTCAGTTGTAAAGGGAAACCCACTACTCCTGCTATTCCACAGCCTTTGCGCATTAACCATACAGAACCTTCGGCAAGTGATGAAATACACGTATCTTTAAGGAACACTAACAATAAATAAATTACAAAAAAAAAACTAAAACAATAAATAAATAAAAAAAACTAAAACAATACTAACTAATTTGAGGGGGCATCAGAGCCACACAGAGCCAGGGACGGCAGTTGAATCAGCTACTTACGGTATCTTTGCTGGAAGGTAGCGGAAGGTACCCGGTAGGTAATTTAAAACCACCCCCTGGCTCCGAGCGACTCTCATCCTGGGTAGTGGAAGCAGATAACATTTTTCTCTGACGACTGAGAGCAAACTTTTAAATATCGATCTAATCAGTAGACGCCTTTAGGTACTTAAATTAATCATATTTTTCATAATTTTTTATTCTTAAATATATATTACCTGCTTGCTGCGAAGAAACTGGTGACTTGATATCCAAAGGAAGCATAGTAAGCATGCTCCATTATAGCCATTAATTGAATTGCGTTGTAGCCTGGAAACATAGAACACTGTAATACACAATAGAATGGCTGTCCACCTTATTTTGTACGAGGATAGGCGTCGGGTATTATCAGTTAATCACTACTACATACCCGATTCGCTGTGTTGACAAACGGATTTTAATACATAGTTATTTGTAAATAGCGTGCAATTTGGTAATTTCTAAATAATTTGCATGCGAAATTTGGAAACGATTGTAAGTCAAAACACATCTCGTTTTGACATTTATACGTGTGAATTGACGTGTTAGTGGCATTTTAGTGGTACACGGGCTCCGCCCACTCCCCCGTTCCATTATGTATGTATTATAGTATTCTATGGGAAAAAATGTGTGAAGTAGTAACTAATACTTGATTATTAAATCCTTATTGACTTGATTATTTAAAACTTATGTGTCAGTAATGTTTTTCCCGCCAAGACCTCGATTAGTTTTCATAGACGCAGGTCAACGTAATGAGGGCATCCACGACTTTTTCTACCACCATGGCGGCGCCACTTAAAACTGAGGTGTAATATTTATTAGACTTCATAGCGGCGAAATTAATTTGTTCGAAAACTGGAAAGGTTAATATTTCTTTCTGTACCATTGTTTAGAATATATATATATATATATATATATTTTTTTTTTTTATATTTATTATCGAAAAATTACAGATAAAATCATTGAGGCTCATTGTTTTGTGTATTAATATAGTGCTTTACAAACTGATAAACTTTTAATTGAAACTAACTTCTCAATTAAATGACATTGTGTATCAAATTTAACCTCAGTACCAACTAGCGACATCTGGTGAGCGAAAGATTATTAGTCCTCATTAACCTCATTATTATTATCGTTATCCGCAACAGTCAGGCAACGTGCATGCGTGTGTGTGTATTTGTTTGCGTGTGTACGTCGTCGATTTTTGGTGATGTCTGTGTTATTAGCCAGGAGAATTTTGCAGCTTCATCGGACAAGGACTGAAGACGCTAATGATGGCTCAGTTCGTGTTTGAATGTTAGGTCTCCCGTACGGTGTTGTCTTATACGTCAGTGTACGGTGATGTTATCTAAACATGTATGGGTGTTTAGATAACATCACCGTACGGTATGGTCCCCGGCCTATTATTTATTTTGTGCCCCGGCTCTGATGGTATAACTTGATTGTAAAGTAAGCACAGAGTTCTATCGAATGTATCACAAAGTGTTTGTGTATTGTCTGTTAAACATAGAGATTTATATACATTTTGGTGTCAGTGCGTTTGTATTAAACAAAATTATAGACATTATGTTAATAGGGGAGGTAAAATGTGTGATATAAATGAGTGTAAAATGGTGTGTAGTGCCTAGTACCACATTTGATTTAATGATGAGATGATGATGATGATGAGCAAGCATCTCACTTTCTCTCATAGTTGCGTTCACAATCAACGGCACTATTAAACACAGTCATGTTATAGTTGTGTGAATTCTCCACACCACTTCATCACTAAAAAACGCACACCATCGTCAGAGTGGTGTAGACATCAGCTAATTAACTTTCATAATCTAAATCTATTATTCCCGCAAAAAAAAAAACGCGTGGTTTTAACATCCTTCCATATTAAAATGTCTATAGTGTAGTATCAAGAGTGGACATTAATATTATTAGTGAAATTAACTTTTAGAATCTGTCAGTAAATATTTGCGTGTATAACACAATTGTTGGTTAAATCTGCTCGTAAATAAATTATTTCTCACCTTGTTTCTTAATTCTCGGTAGCACATTGTCTGTGAACTCTTTGTAAGTTCCCACACGCCCTTCGGAGGTGGCGATGCCCACATGGCTCTCGTAAATACGCAGAGATGCTGGTCTGTCCACTTTAGGATGTTTGAATTTATATGGCTGAAAATAGTAATGTTTTGATTTCGTATGTTTTCGTGAATACTACTAATTTATAGCGCATATTAACTTATTTTATATTTCCGACATTTCGAGTACTTTGCAGCACCCATGGTCACGGGAGTGGGGGGGAGGGGATAGTTAATAATTTTAATCTCAAGGTAGTCGTAGTTAACTATGCAATACCTGATCCGGCTTGTATATAAACTGTTGATATGTGAAACCCTCAAATGGCTTCACGTAGCTCGCCCAAGGTGAAACTCTGTACAGGTGTTCATTTACTATGAGCTGCACGCGTGTTTGGTGTTTCAGCGCACAAGAACCGTCCGCATTGGGCGGTATCTGAAGCTCCCACTTGCCAAACTCTAATTTTTTGAATGGATGACTTCTTGAGTTCCAGCCATCTGGAATATAATTAAAGTTATATAATGAAATATTCATTTTTTGAACCGTTTAGTTGGTCGAGCAAGTAGATGAGTTTGTATGTTTGGGATGTGTATTCAGCAGGCATGGGAGATATGTTAGAAATATAGAACGATGTCTCTATTATAGAAAGTCAGAATGTGTCAAAAAAGGCACATATGACAATTCACAGTGCTGTGTTAGTCCCTACTTTAACGTATGGTAGTGAAAGTTGGGTGTGGCAGAAGAAGCACGAGAGTAGAATAAATATGGCTGAATCTGAGTGACAGGGTGAGAAATTGTGTGATATGCTGATAAGAGAAGAGTGTGGTTTGCAAGATGATGTTGTGACCAGTATTAAGAAAGGAATGCTTCGGTGGTTTGGCCATGTAAAAAGAATAAATGAGGAAAGAGTGAAAAAGCAAATTTATGTTGCAGAAGTGGAAAGCACTGCTGCTGGCCGTATGAGCTGTCGCTCAGCGAGTTATGGAGAAGGCTATGCTCGGAGTTTCTCAGCGTGATAGACTCAGAAATGAGGATATCCGCAGTAAAACCAGAGTGACCGACATAGCCCAACGGATTAGTAAGCTGAAGTGGCAATGGGCCGGCCATATAGCTCGAAGAACCGATAACCGATGGGGAAGAAAGGTTCTCGAGTGGCAGCCTCGTACCGGTAGGCGTAGTGTAGGGCGACCCCCAACTAGATGGAGTGACGACCTGGTAAGATATGCAGGAAGTCGATGGATGCAGGTGGCTCAGGACCGTGCTTTGTGGCATTACTTGGGGGAGGCCTATGTTCAGCAGTGGACTTGTGAGGGGCTGTAATGATGATGATGATGAAGTGGAAAGCAGAGTTAGAAAGGGACGTCCTAGGCGAAAGTTTATCGACTAAGTTGGCGATATATTAAAAATGGGCCAAATTAAGAGTACCCTTAACCGAAGAGCATGTAAGCGTAGATATATGGATGTGGAGGAGGAGAGAGAGGTGTGTCAGGATCGTGCCAAATAGAAGTCTATAGTTTCTGTCTACCCCTCTGGGTGACAGGCGTGAGGCATTGGCCAGGCACATGGGTAGTAGTCACAATATCAGACGTCTCGCTAGTTCTTCCTGTCGCTGGTCTTAGTATTTATTATCAGGTAACATAGTAGACACTTATACTGATGTTAATTAGAGGTCACAAAAGGCCTTAATACGCCTCACAGAACACCCACGGAATGAAACTGGAATGGTGAATTCATTAATGTCGCCCCCATCGGCCGCACGACGTAAATTACAAAAATAAATATTGGCACATTCACTTTATGTCAGAGGGGGCTTTTACCTAAATTTTAATGTCACAAACACTAACCAGTTCATCACTCCACTTAATCTCTACTCCGGTAATCGAAATTTAGGGTGGCCAGAGGGCCACGGTACGCGACGCTTATTATAATGCAGTTATTATATTATTGTGTAGGTATATACAAAATAACAAGGCGATTAAAGAAGAAAAAATGGATAAGTCATGGTAATATGACTACGACCGTCGAACCTATTTTAATATGGCGTTATCTTGCACTTGTTCAGTAGGTATTGCCGAGGAAGAATATAGTCATTTAAATGTGTGTGAATTGTCGTTTCTTTGATTCGGACTAGCTTTCAGCTTATTAAATTGTTAAGATTTACGATAAAATCTAAGCTTATAAAATTTAAGGTTAGTTTAGGTTAGGTTCCCCCCGAGCGGGTTCCCGCCTTGTCAGAGGAACACACTTGACTGGCTTGAGGTGTAAGGCCCGCCCGAGGTGGCCGCTCCGAATGGGCTTGCCTAGCACCATATGCGCGTTGGTGGACTGTGGCGGAAGGGGTGTCCTTTTCGTCGTAGCCAAGGTGGAGTCACGGGGGAAGAGAAGTGTTGTTACGGCGAAGCGCCCCTCGCCCTATCCTCCACGAGTCCACGACTCTGGCGGGGCGCACAATTGATGAGGTGGTGAAGGGGCCGCGGGGGAGAGGAGTGACGGTATTGCGACGCCCCGCTCTCCCAACCCTTGGCGGCCGAAACTTGGCTGGCGACAGAGCCAGAGCCAAGATCCTCCCCTGGAGTCGAGAAGTCTGATGCTTACGAGTACTTGACTTTCCTAGCCCCTGGGCCTCTGCGCTTCGAGCTCGGGGGACCCGCTACGCCATTGGATTTAGAGACCAGAGATTAAGGCGCGCTTCATGTACCGATGCGCCTTACCTGAGAAAGAGAATGGGGAGGAGTTGCCCTCTCCCTAGGAGGGGCTGCCATGGGACGGCCAGCGCCTGTTACAGATGTGTGCGAAAGTGTGTGGCCCTGCTAATATGCGACGAAGGTGGAACACCATGGGGTTTTAGTCGGTGCGAGGACGACATAACCTACCTTCTTGCCCCCGCGAGTCGGGTATGCGTAGGCATTTCCCCATGTAAATAAAAAGATTAGTTTAGGTTGATTTTACCACAAAACTAAATCAGTCTAGGTATTTGAGGAAAAAACTGGATTTCTCGGGTTTATGATAACATAAAGTAACAATTTTGTCTTCTTCCGGTTCCGGATCCATGAAAACCAGTTTTTACCATAAACCTGCGACATGTATAATATGTAACTTTGGTAGGAATTGTTTGCCAGCGTAAATAATTTCACAACTGCGTTATTTGTACGATGATATTTTGTGACCGAAGAATAAAGATACTTAGGACGATATTTTGAAGACATCGGCTTATAATCGATACTAATACATTACACAATACAATTTAAAAAATATTAAACGTTAAAACGAAACTAAACGCGATTCCTACCAAAGTTACACAATCTCATTGCTGGTCAGTTTTTAACCGACTGCAGGGTAAAATTTTGGGATAGTTTGCATATATGTATTTCTATGACTACCCGCGACTGATTTTTAGACATAGTACCGAGGTATCTTTATTTATTTGTCACATTTGAACGAACGCAAACGAGACTATATTATGCCGTAAGCTCTAATGCTTAAATTAAAAGTAGATATGAATTGTCAAAATCTTGCGACCTAAAATTTATTTATAAGCAAATGTATCATGTAGGTATGTATTGTATCAGGTAAAAGGTATTCATTGAGTATGGTCTAAATACATAATATGATTTGTAAGTAAAATGTATATTACATTAGTAAGAGAAGTTTTACCAATATCAAAGGTGAGAGTGGAATTAAAAGATTATTTGTATTATTATGTGCATTTGGGTTCACATCGCACACCATGTCTCAGATTTAAATCGAGCCAAACTGCTTGGACACGAATTGGAGATTAATGTGTGGCTTCTCGCTACCGCTACTTACTAAAATCTCCTTGCAAATGTAAAGAATGAGCTCCCGGCGCCCATTCCCGCCATGTGACTGACCCGTCCGAATTAAACTGTGGTCCGAAGTATCGGTATCCCCTTGTGAATCCATCCACACCACCCTCCCACGATTCAATTAGGTGCCATAGATCCTTGAAGCACCCATATCTAAAAAAAACATATTGAACTGCAGTCTATGTTTCGTTGCTAAATAATAACCTAATTCAATCTTCTCTTAAATACACCCACATCACATTGTATTCTGCTGGTAGCTCTGAGGCAGAAAAAGGTCTTTATGATATAATAGAATGGAAGTTACGAAAGTATGAAAATATTTCCCATAATCGACTATTATCACTTACCCTGTCACCATACAAATACCAATAACTGTTCGTTTCAATACTTTACTTCTGAACATAGCATAGACCTTTCTTAAAAACAGAAACACAGCTTACATATAACAGATACAGGCACGGTTACATACCAGAATAATATTCTAATGAATAATGAAATTAAAAAAAAATTAATATTCTAGTTTGTAACGGTAACTACTTGTTTTACAGATTTCAACCGCAACACCAAGTAGGTTTAGGTACAGCAAAACCACACTCAAAAACTTTGCACTTAGATAATTTTAAATTACTCAGAAGATATTTTCTAAGTTTTTCAAGAAAATTATAAGTATTATACATTTTAGGATTGCTCCAAAAATTTATAATAAGTACTTATACATTTTAGGAGCAATGCTAAATTATAATTTATATAAATAATAAATAAAATCTTAAATTTATATGAAATATTATTTATAATTTAATTTTAAAATTTTAAATGTTATAATTAATATTACGGTTTTTTTGATTTTCAAATTGAGGTTTCCTTGTAGTTTGTAGTCCTTACTATGCCGATAATTGGCGATTTCCAGTTAATGAAATTTTTAGTTCAGTAATACAAGGAATCGAAGCATCAAGGTCGTTGTAGACGGTGCAAGCTCTGATTGCAAGACTATTAATGCTGGTGTTCCACAAGGCTGCGTGCTATCGCCAACGCTGTTTCTTCTGCATATCAATGATATGTTGCAAACCCGTCTTTAAACCGGCCGTGCCAATATTTCTCGGGAAAACGTCTCCGACTACCGGGACAAACTTGTGTCTGAAGTCGAGTCTTTGCTGAACAGAGTATCGGATTGGGGGCGACTAAATCTAGTCCAGTTTAACCCCCAGAAGACACAAGTTTGCGCGTTAACCGCTAAAAAGAACCCCTTTGTCGTATCTCCTCAGTTTCAAGGCACTCCCCTTGTTGCCTCAGCCAGTATCCGAATCCTCGGCGTCGACATATTGAGCGACGTGCAGTTTCGTGGTCACTTGGAAGAGAAGGTCAAATTGGCCTCTAAAAAGCTTGGCGTGCTCAGCAGAGCGGGACAGTATTTCATACCGGCACACCGCCTGCAACTTTACAAGGCGCAGGTTCGGCCGCACATGGAATTACTGTTCCCATCTCTGGGCTGGGGCTCTCCAGTACCAGCTCCTTACACTTGACCGCATCCAGCGTAGAGCGGCTCGAATCGTCGACGACCGAGTGCTTTCCGATCGGCTCGATTCACTGGCACTGCGAAGAGATGTTGCATCTCTTTGCATTTTCTTTCGCATATACCATGGAGAGTGCTCAGAGTGAGGAATTGTTCGGATTAATCCCAGCCGCCAAATTTCGTGAACGCACTACGCCGCAAACGTCTCGATACCATCCACACCATCTGGAGGCTTGGCGGTCCACCACTTTAGTTTAAAGTGAGTTTTCTTCCGCGTACAACCTCTCTGTGGAATAGTTTACCACCGGCGATTTTTCCGGACCGATACGACCTGGGGACCTTCAAGAAAAGAGCTTACTCCTTTCTAAAGGGCCGGCAACGCACCTGCAATTCCCCTGGTGTTGCGGTTGATCATGGGTGGCGGTAGTCACTTAACATCAGATGAGCCGCATGCTCGCTTGCCCCCTCTTCAATAAAAAAAGCCTCCGTCATTATCGTGCCACTTTGAGCTAGAGTGAGCAAAAATGCCGACCGAGGGAAAAATAAATTAACGATTCTCGTTATTTGCACTTATTTATGACATTCGTGGATGCAACAAAATACTTGTTACGACGGTGACACCGAAAGTTCTTAAAAAAAAAAACGATGGGTTGCACTCCGGGAGTGCCGGCAGAAGTGAAAACTTGAATATTAACGGTACAATTTTTGATATTTTGGAAGGGTTAGGGAATAATTTTGCATGAATTGCTTTAATTATCAGTATTAAAGTACTATCATTTATGTGGTAGAATCTTTTATTTATTGCGCTATTGTACACAAACATGACAATTTATATTACATTAAAAAGTTTATCTTCTCCTACGCCGCGCCGGCGGTCTACTCGCCATCCGTCTTACGAATTGACGTGTCCTGACGCGAGTTTAACATTTTTTACCCATTGCAAAAAAGTGTACAACGCCGCTAAAGAAGTTATCACTTCAAAAATCAAAAACTGAACAAACTAGCAAGTTATTAGTTTTATTATATCTTTTCAAAATAGTGTCCATTTACCTCAATATATCGCTGCATCCGATGGAACCACTGCGAAAAGCACTTTGCCCACTCGTCCTTAGAGATCTCTTCGATGGCATTTCGAAACGTTGCCACTGCTTCCCATAAAAATGGGCGTCCAGAATAAAATAAGTTACTTCGTTTTTTTCGAAGTTTTTATTTTATTTTCGGAAATAAATAAAAATTGCAAGATCGGGGCTATAGAGCGGATGACCCGGTAATTCCACGTCTGACGTGGCCAGTAGTCGATTGTTTGCTTGGCGGTGTACGACGAGGCGTTGTCGTGGTGAAGGATGATTCCACTGCGAAGTCGTTTCTCCCGAACTTTTTTCAAGAGAAGTGGTAAACAATTGTTAGTGAACCACTCTGCAGTAAGCAATCCTCTAAAACTTGTTGCGTAATGACCTTTCCTTCCGAAGAACGAGGCCACCATTTTTTTCCCACGCTTCGACCTCTCTTCACTTTAGTTGACAACTCCTCGGAAGTAAACACCCAGACAGCAGACTATCTCTTAGTTACAGGATTATAACAATATCCAGCTTTTACCCGTAATTATGTCGAACACAGCATTTGAGTTACCGCCGTTAAATCGTTGAACAATTTCACGACACCAACCAACACGACGGAGTTTTTAGGCCTCTGTCAAATTATGAGGTATCCACCAGGCACTAAGCCTCCTGACCGCAAAATGTTCATGGAGGATTTTGTGCAATTGACTCATACCGATGCCTAAGCATGTCCGACTCTGCTGATAAGTCACTCTTTTGTCAGTCTCTATCATACGCCATACAACACTGATGTTACCTTCAGTCGATGCCGTAAAAGGCCTTTCTTCACGCAAATCATCGGAGAGATTAATGCGACCACGTTTAAACTAATTAAACCAGGTGTACCTAAGCAGTGGCAAGAGGTGTGGCTTCATCATGAAAGGCCAATTGAAGCCTATCATAACTTTCTTGTTGTCTTAAATGACATCGAAAGTCATAAAAAATCATTGTATGAAAATTTTCTCGCGTTAAATTCATGCTGACATGACACAGACATTTTCAATTTGCCGCCAAATCGTGAAAAAATGACAAATTAATAAAATACATACACAATAATGCTTTGTGGCATTACTTGGGAGAGGCCTATCATAGATTATAGTGTATTTATACTAGAGAACTAGCGAAAATGTTTAACCAAATTTCATGATTAACATAAATGTGATCGTTTCTTTTGTTACTAAAAACTAAAAGTTCTAATTCTGTCCTTATTTCATACGAAAACATACATGTCTGTAGTAATTTCGATCAAAATTTGTATCGAAACTATATATCATCATCATCATTACAGCCCTTCACAAGTCCACTGCTGAACGTAGGCCTCCCCCAAGCAATGCCACAAAGCACGGTCCTGAGCCACCTGCATCCATCGACTTCCTGCATGTCTTACCAGGTCGTCACTCCATCCAGTGGGGGACCGCCCTACACTACGCCTACCGGTACGAGGCTGCCACTCGAGAACCTTTCTTCCCCATCGGTTATCGGTTCTACGAGCTATATGGCCGGCCCATTGCCACTTCAGCTTACTAATCTGTTGGGCTATGTCAGTCACTCTGGTTTTACTGCGTATATCCTCATTTCCGAGTCTATCACGCAGAGAAACTCCGAGCATAGCCCTCTCCACAGCTCGCTGAGTGACCTTGAGCGTCCTCATACGGCCAGCAGTGAAGGACCACGTCTCAGATCCGTAAGTCATCACTGGCAACACGCACTGGTTGTACACTTTAGTTTTCAGAGATTGAGGTATACCTGACGAGAAGATGTGTCGTAATTTCCCGAACGCTGCCCAGCCGAGTTGAATCCGTCGATTGACCTCTCGGTCGAAGTTGGACTTACCTAGTCGGACTATTTGTCCCAGGTAAACGTACTCGTCAACAGCTTCGAGCATAGTGCTCCCAACAACTACCGGCATAGGTGTGACATGGACATTAAACAAGATCTTTGTTTCGTCATGTTCATCTTAAGACCTATCCGTTGGGAGACACTATTGAGGTCATTGAGCATAGTGCCAAGGTCCTCTAGCGATTCTGCCATAAGGACTATATCGTCGGCAAATCGAAGGTGAGTGATATACTCGCCATTGATGTTAATACCATATCCTTTCCAGTCCAGTAGCTTAAAAACGTCTTCCAACGCAGCGGTGAAGAGTTTCGGGGATATAACGTCACCCTGTCTTACACCTCTCTGCAGATGGATAGGTTTCGAACTCTGGTTCTGTACTCGGATAGCCATCGTAGCCCTACTGTACAAATACTTCAGCACTTCGATATACCGACAGTCAACTTGGCACCGCTGAAGGGACTGTAGCCCAAATTTCGACGGAATCAAAGGCTTTCTCATAGTCCACATACGCCAGGCAAAGTGGCAGATTGTACTCTTCGGTCTTCTGTACAATCTGCCGCAGGGTATGTATGTGGTCTATGGTACTGAAGCCTTTTCGGAAACCGGCTTGTTCGGGAGGCTGGAAGTCGTCGAGTCTGCGTGCGAGACGATTCGTAATGACTCTCGAAAACAGCACGTAGATGCGGCTCAGAAGGGAAATCGGTCTG